AAAGTGGGAGGAATGAAGAAAGGATTTATGATAAAATAGTGAGTAAAAATGGAAGTTTAAATCCTATAATACGATTGACTCTCGAGTTTTTTACGTGTCATATTAAAGTTTTACTTTTATGGTACTATTTTTGATGAATAAGAATCAACAGGCGATAAATATAACAAATCATCATAACAATAAAATCAATTGGATGATTTTATTATTAACTTCTCGTTTATAGGCAGATGATAAAAATAAGTAGTGAAGCATTGAGATAAATATTTTAGAAAAAAGATGATGAAAAAAAAATTATAAATTGGGTGAACTTTGAGACGGTGTATTGATGAAGTGAAATAACTATATCAAGATTATAATAAAGTAGGTAATAAATATGGAAAGCAATAAATTACCGTGTTAACTATGTGGTCACGACGACGAAGAACGTAAAGCTTGATGGCATTATGATGGATATTCCTAAAACCACATTCTTGTTTCTGGGTTAGGGTCGAGGATACTTCTCATAGAACTGTTCATAAATTGACTACTCTCAAATCAAATCTGTAAAATATTGAAAAAAGTCCATACATTTTTATTAATATTTTGACACAAAAACAATAGATATTTTAATTAATCATAAAAAGTGGACAATAATTAGTTGGTGATTAATGAAAAATGAATTTGTCTAATGTAAAAGATATGTAAAGATCGTGGAAAATACTTTTTGACCTTTAATATTTCTCTACACGTATACTGACAATTAATTACAACTAAAGTAATGATTACTCTACCGCGTAATGTACCTACACGGTCATTGATTTGTCCATTGCAACATCACACATTTCCTCGTAGATTCTTCTAGACTTCTTAAGAAATAAAAAGACGTCTTTTAGTGAAACATTCGTTAACTGGCAGATGAATAATTATAACTGAGATTGCATATCAAATGGGCCTTCAAGCTATTTTTAGTTTCGAGTTTTAATTTAATTTCAGCATATTTTTGAAACAAATAACTTCATTTTCACAATCATTTTTCAAAATGATATCGTCAAAAAATCTTCAGTATATTTTTAAGTGTCAAAAAGCAATGATTATAATATAAATAAATCATTGATGTAAAGTTTTTGTTTAAACCAATGTTAATAATAGTAATAAAATAAGTGATAAAATGATTTATTGGTTACTATAATGATAAGAAATCTAGTGGCATTATTTTTTTGTACAATTTTTTTGACAAAAATAGAAAATATCAGTAAGAACTGATCTCGATTTCCCACAATCATCAAGGCGGAACGTCCATCTACGGTAATCCTTGGATTATTTAATTAATGATTAATCAAATAACCGGTTTCTTTAGGAATTTAGGTGGATAGATCCTCCCACCAAGTGCATAAAAAGTGCAGGTGAAGAATCACTGAAAGAAACCATAACTGTCAGATACAAAAAAAAATCATGCAAATCGAGTAATTAAATATGAAAATCATCTTTCAAGAGATCAGTCATGATTTTCTTCTATACCATAGAACTTTTCAAGAAATAAAACACAAGAAAGGCTCCATGCTATCAAGTCGACAGAGCACGTAGGCATGTTTTTTTTTATTAACACGATAGATTTGTTCTTTGTCAGATTTTTATATTTTTAAAGTATCTATTAACTCATGAGAGTATGTATTATAATTGTTTTAACAAAAAAGTCTAATGACGTTAATTACAGTTATTGCATCAAATTGTTTTGATAATCTACTACGGCATCCGTTATAATTAATGCATCATGTAAATGAAGAAGATTTAATTATTAATCAACAGAGGAAAAGCTATTAAGATTAATCAATGATAAAAATGTTTAATTAAATCGATTTATCGAAACTCGTAATTATTTTTAAGGGATTTTAGAAAAACAATAGATAATCATTTGGTACCGGATATACATTCCCTGTATACTGCACGGATGTGGGCGTGGAGTCCACGGAATCAAGGCCGCGTTGTTCTAGAAAGCCTGAATCTTTTTTTTTATTTTGCGGTAGTGACTGTCGGATCGAGTGGTACCGGTCCTCATAATGCGTGTGAGCACACGATCGAGCCCCTCGATCGACAGTAATCTGATAAATTACACAGTTCGATTAATATCAATATCAACAATCGTATAAAAACATTTCCTCACATTCTGACCCTTGAAATGAATGGCAAAAAATCATCAATTAGTTTATCAATCATCTGACTAATTAATCTATATAATTAGTAGAATAAATTCTTTTCTTAGGAGTAAAAAAAAATTCTCTACATCTCATTACTGTCTCGAGAACATTAGAATTAAACTAGTAGTTTACCCCTGACCGAGAACAGGCTCTTGAGACTCGGAGGAAGACGATCGTGCCGATCTAATTACGTAATCGCCATGCACCTTGTGCTAGTTCGTAGACCGGATCGACGGCTAGATCCATATCACTGTCAAATTATTGTGTTGGTAAACGAAAAAAGAATGATTTAATAGAGAAAATATTAATGAACAATAACTAAATTGTTAAAGTGAATGTGATAAATTTTTTAAATTGTATATTAAACTTAAAGTATGCATATAAATACTTGTATTAAAGAATCGTATTAATAAGTTAGAAAAAATTAATAATCTTGTTGAATAATTAATTTGTATAATTAGTAAAAAATGACCATTTTAAAAGCTTTTGACGATAAGTAAAGAGTTTAATAACGAGTTATTACTGAGGTGTATTAACAAATGAAGCAGAACTCTTTGTTTTATTAATAATAAAACAAGATAAAAAACTTGAAAATAATGATTAAGTAGGAAAAGTGTTTATGAGTCAAGTTTATAAACATTTCAATTTCGCGTAGGTTTATAATAAATTTAATTGATAAGTTTTTTATATTATATTGTTTGAGATTATTATTGTTGAACTTAAAACAAAGAGGTCAAGGTAAATTATAAACTGAACGATTTCTTCCTTCTTCGTTCACCCATTAGCTTACGATTAGTCATATTACCATCAAGCGTTAATGAGTAATAGAAGAAGGGTGGATGCATCGACTCGTTAATTCATTCCAGCCATATATGATATAATCGACTTGAATGAGTACAATATTTGAAACAAACTTTAGAATACTAAATGATATATCCCTGAACTGGTAATACAAAAAAAAGTAGTCCTAAATTCAAGCTGGATATAAATAAGTTTAATAATTAAAGGATGCTCTTAATAAGATAATTACTTCAACGAGAGTAATTGTTTTTGGTTGTCTGAATAAAACTTCGAGTTTATAGGCATTAAAAAGTAGTCTATAAATATTAGAAGACAAGATTAATTAAAATCTTAAAATATTTTTTAATTTAGTAAAATGTATTGAATAAATATATGTATATACTAAAGAAAATGTATTCTATTGCTGCAACAGGTCGAAGGTCTGTTTCTTTACCTTTAGATAAAGTTAATATTAAATAAGCTATCGATATGGTAAAATAATTTTTTTAAATATAAATTATTTAGCTATTCTTTGTTTATGAGTTTTATATAAAGCTTTTTCTACATAAAAATGATTACGTTTAAATAACAAGAAGGTTGTTGTTTAACTACAGTATTTTGGATGTAGTGCATTTGATAAACTTGATAAAAATTAATTACTAGAATCACTGATTTCTAGCTAAATCAATTTGGATTTTTTACTTTAATTTTTATTTAAACTAATTTTTCTTTAAAGATTCTGGATGGTTATTTGAGAATTAGTTGATGTCCAAATTGTAATTGTTATGAGTAGTTATTACAAGTTGTTCTCCTGTTGGAGTTACAAACTCAATTTGTAGCATGAACAGATTTTACTGTGGACATAACAGAATCAAAACTGTTGCAAGAACAGAATATTTTTTTCTGTTCATAATAGACATCTGAAGTTGAAAATTGTCCTAAGGAACGTGGAGGTTACAGACTCGAAGGTCGATTGGGACTCTCATGTCAACTGTTGCATCCGCGATGATAATGTAAAAGCACATATTGCTAATGTTATCGTGTTTTGTACGCCAATTTCTATATGCATCTCATAGAACCGCGTCATGGAAATTAAAGTAATTGTCGATCATATGCCTCAAGTGATTGCAAATCATTTTTATTATGACCTTGGCTTGATTAAGAAATTATACTGATTCAACAATTGACTATTCACCATGGGACATATGCTTGAAATATCATACATAAGTCAAGACTTCAAGGATCTTCCAATAACTTTAATCTGGTTGATTGATCTCATCAATTATTTGCTACTGAAAGAATTGAGTTTTGATTATAGTCTCACGCCTTCGTTAAAATTTATTATGCTAAAAAAATATGATAGTGTAATTAAAACATGGAAAAACCATGTTATTACATTTTATAGTGCAAATATCCTTTATCCTTCCAACAAACCATTGATTTTATTCATCCGTTAAATTATTTTTGCCTTGATTTCATACTTCCTGAAGCCTCGAAAACACCTGTTATTTTTTTATATTCTTTATTTATTTACTTTATTCAAACTATACTCATAATGAATCATAATTTTAATACCTATAATTATTATTACTACCAACACCTTTGAGAAACTGATGGCTAAATTGTGTAATTTTTTGCTTCAATAGTTTCATATTAGATCAATATTTAAATGAAATAATGTATCTTATTAAAAAGTTTTATAAAAATAGTTAAAAATTGCATTCACATTATATTTATTTCTATAATATAACATTCTCGATTAATATTTTACATAAATAGTTTAAAAAATATATTTTATTTCAAAGATGACGAGAATAGAAATGAGTTTTTTTTTATTTATCTAGAGGCCACAACAAAGAGAAGTCATGATAAAAAACCTTCATAAAAATTTAGACAAGCTATAATTGAATCAATTTTTCTAAGAATTCTCAGTTATTATTTGATACTGAATGATAGTATGGAATAATTACATGACTGATCACTCAATAATGGAAAGTATCGTACGAAAACATTCTTTCGAAGTTTGTTTACAAGTTAATCTGAAATAAATAAGTTATGGTAGGATTCTTTTCTATAGTGTGATCAATAATGTACAGTATTACTAAGATTGTGTGTAATGTCATTTTCTTAGAATTACATGATAAATTTCTGGTAATTATAAATAGAATAAATAATTAATAAACTATCACAAGTCGATAAAAGTTGTATTTAAGTGATTTAAGATTCATTATTTAGATGAATCTTGGACTATTGAGTACTACCATTCCAATTATCAACCCAACAAAAATGGCACTTTTCTTTGGAGCATCAATAGCAGTTGGAATGATTTACTCTTTTGTTCCCTGGCTTTATGAAGATCCAGAAGAAAGCATTGAAGAAAATGATAATGGTGAGTTCAATTTTATATTTATTAAATTGTATTTTAATATTATTTTAATAAAATGATTTATTTTTGACCATATAAGATTTCAATATTCACATTACTCAAGAAAGTAATGCACATAATGAAGAAACATTATCATCATCATCATCATCTACTGAGATTAGGATCATTACTCATCAAAGACAGAGAATAAGAGTTGAACCAGAAGACGAAGAAGTTCATCAAACATCAATCCGTTCAAAAATTAACAGTGAAAATTCAACATCATTTTTATGCATTAATTTTCCTCTTAATGTTCATTGTAATACTTTACCAGAAATCAAATTGCTTCCAACAATGAAAAAAGATTTTAATAATAATCAACATCCAAGTAGAGCAGGTATCCAAACGGATAAGTATTTAACTTATAGAAATAATTCAAGTTTTCAAGAGAGTTGCCAACTAGATAGTAATTATAAAACATTAGTCAATGATGAAAAAAATGCCGGAATAGATGATATACCTCGGCAAAAAATTTCCAAACCTCCTCGAGCTCATCCACCTTCTCGAGGTAAGAGTCTGAGCAAAAGTGATGAATGCCTGTCATCATCAAAAAAAAGTTTTGTTAATGCTCAGACCCAAACTTTTGATACTAACCATCATCAAGTGCAATCATCACTAAATTTGAATCATCCTGAACTTGCTCAGAAGATTTCTAAACTAAAAGAAAGTAGCCAAAGTACTGATGTTGATCAATCTCATAAACATCCACTTGATCCTCTAATCAATGTGATTGTTTGTGAAAGTGAATCTTCAATATTTCCTTCTTCATCTCATATTGATCATGAAGTTGACTCTAGTTCCAAAAATTCAAAAAACGTTAAGAATATTAATAATACCGAAAATAAGATTAATAATAATGAAAGTGTTCCAAAGAAAGCTTTAAGAAAAAAGCATGTTAAATTCCGTGAACATAATTTCTCATCATCATCAGAATTTTACGAAAACAGTTTCAAGCAGTATTGTAATAATAGAAAATCAGCTTCTAGTAGCTTTGTTAGTGGAATAAAAAGAGCTCTGAGTTTCAATAAAAGTGAAAAAGATCTAATGAAATCGAAATCATCAATTTCATCAGCCACGGGACGAATTCCATCAGGTCATTCAACTCCGATTGAAAGAAGTAGTATTTCGTCTGAAGAGCATCAAGGATATTTAGATGATGCATTGAGGAATGAATCCAAGCAAAAACATGAGTTGAATCAGTCAGGTAATTTGTCTAGACGTCCCAAGGTGCTTTTATTAACTCGTGGGATTCCATCATGTCTTATCCAGGATTTAAATTTAATCCATGAAAAATCAAATAGCAAGTTTCTAACATCAAGTACTATTTCAGAGACATCGACAAGCTCTGAAAATTCAAAAAATCAAACTCAAAGAGGAAAAAATGTAGGTATTGAAACATCAAATTTTACTACAACAGGAAGCAATAGCAACGATACTAATGATAATCATAGTAATTATAACAGTGGTTGGATCTCAAGGCTAAGCAGAGATATGCATCAAGTGATTGGAGGAATAAGGAAATACATCAAAGTGCCTAAATTGAATGGAAATTTTCAACCTTCAAATAGATATTCGGTCAACAAAGACATAAATAATAATAATTATTATTATAATGATAATAATAGTCATAATCATAATAATAAATATAACAATGAAAGTAGTCTTAAGTGTAGTAGTTGGAAGTTTAAGAGCTCTTCAACGTTGAATAAAACTCATAGTTTAACATTTTTAAAGACGGATATAGATTCCGAAGAAAATTATTGTGGATTATCTGAACTGAGAGATAAAAAACTTTTTACACGATGGTCAAATTTAATATTCTGTTAGTTATGAACAATTGATAGAATTCTACGGAAATTTGTTATTAATTATTAATTATAGATGCTAATTTATTGGTGTTGATATTTATTAGATTGTATTATATTTTTCTTGATTTATTCAATTAATTATTGTAAAGATCCTTGAAATATTATTATAATTAAAAGCAGCATCTTTTGTCATTGAAATTTTAGCAAAAATAATCTAACTGATCTCGTAGATTATTTATTGTAAAAATATTCATGCTCAATATTATAATATGTTTCAATACTCTATTTCAAAATTATTGTATCAATTGTTGTGATGTTTATATAGTATGTTTTAATATTTTAAATATTTTTAAAATTTATATAAAAAAGATTTGTGACTATTCAACAAAATAGTCATGCATATAAAGTAAGATATTCAATAAGATTGAATCAAAGAAAAAATTTAATTTATGATTAAATTGTTGATTATATTATATTTAATAAATCGAATATTGTTTTAAATCGATTCTAATAAACAAATATTATGAATAATTAGATGAATCACTAGAATTGTTCTAGTTCACTGATATGTTGAAGGTCAATTCGAAATTGAAAAAAAAGAATGTAAATAATATTCTATGCTTAATAAATTTTGTGTTTTTTATTGAAATCATTTATTATTATTAAATTTAAATTAATTGATAATAACGAATAAAAAGAACTATATTTTTTGATTCTCATAGCCTTCGATTATGATATAAATCGTTGAAAATAATTTATTGAAGTCAATTAACCTTTCTGATTTATTTTTTTTCAGAATTTATTTAAACATCTAAAAAGCTTCTTTCATATTATAAGTTACTTAAAGCGATTAAAATATTCAAAGTGCCAAAATAATTCTTCTTACTGAGAATTAAAAATAAATTTAATCCTGAGTAAAAAAATTTTATCCATTTTAAAGAATGCATTTATTTTTAAGTCTGTAGTTCATTGGAATTGATTACTCTTTATTTAAGAAGAAACTTATGACTTTATAAAAAAATAACTTCAATTGATGGGTTTCTAGGTGCATTCATGTGTGTTAAAAGAGAAAAATAATCTCAGTTCAATAACCGGTTATTTCAAGTGGTCGGTGAATACCCGCATGGGGTTTTCCCAGTTCTTCAATCTGTTAGGGTTTCTGTGGTGTTAAAACTCCAGCTGCATAATATTAAGAAATTTGCTGATTGCAGTTATGGTTGAGTAAATATTAAAATTATTAAATAATCCACATATTAGCCTATTTTTGGAATTCTTAGCAATTGTAAAATAAATTTTAGGTAATAAATTTGAATAAATTTAATAGAAGTTTTCCTCCTTCAAATGCCACGAATGTTTTTATGCAATTCCTTTTATAAAAATTGTAGCCTATGACGTCTTTCAGACATACTTGGCTCGGTCGTTGCCTGACCGGTTCGTGAGTTCTCAGACTACTCACGTAAATTGTTGCACACTTTGGTGCAATCAATGACAAAAAAATGTTATAAATTCAGATATGATAAAAAAAACAATTAACATTGATATTAGATGATAATAAATATTTGATTAAAGATGATTTGAAATGATTGATAAAATGATTAGAATATTTAAAAGGCGATAAAAAATTAATTCAGATGAAAATTAATTAAAATTCTTAATAGAAAACTGAATCCTTTATAAAAATTCCTGATGGTATAGTAATGATTCTCAAGGAAATAAAGATTTACATATTTATTAATTATCAACTAGAACATTAATAATAAAAATTTTATGAATTTTTTCAATGTGTAAATTAACAGTAGTACTTAACAATGTTGATATTTTCCTTGGTGACATACTGATTTTTAATTACCCAGTAGCATAATCGCGACATAACTTTTTTTTTTAAAGAATATTATAGGAAGTCTTTTTGTATAAAAACACATGTATATTTTTTTCTAACTCTTCAATATTAATAATAAAAAAAATTCCGTTGTTGAGACTAATAAGCCGACTGCAACGTGTTATTTAATATAGTTCTTCGAGGACATGGAGGATATATTTGTTTTTATATAGCAACTTTACAACGGTCCTGATTCTATGTGATGATATAACACCTGATGAAAAAAATTCAACCACTGTTTATTCATAAGCTATTAGTTTTGTTAATAAATCTGACATACTCAGGTAAAGTATCTAGAACATTCCCATGAAGGCGGAATAAAAAATTAAATATTGCAATGATGATTATTTTAAATATGAATGTGCGTTAAAAGATGGAAAAAACTGACAAAAAACTCATTAGAATGACACTAAGTAGCAACAAAAGTACAGTTAATCATATTGAAAAATACCGATAAAATATTATGATGACAGTATTGAATTTTTTATGATTTTTTATTCGATAATAGATGTAGTAATAAATTTCATTTATTATCTCTTAAATAAAAAAACTTTTTATTTTGAGAAAGAAAATTTTTCTTGTTGAAAATTACTATTATTATTGTTATCATTTTCATATATTGATTGATAAATTATTTATTTAAATGAACAATACATCCTGTTTTTTATTGTTTTTTTAATAAGGTTATTATAACAAAGAAATATCACAGTAATTAATATCGTTTTTATTGAATATAATTAAATTTAATTGTGATAATTAATTAATGTAGTATTCCTTAAAAAGTTAATCAAAGATACATCAATGAATGAAAATTTTTATTTATAGAATTTAATGATTTCTAGAACAACTAGCAATAAATTAAGAAAAAATTATTCATGTTTACATTATGTATAATTAATTGTAATAATGTATGAAGAAGAAGATTGAAAAAGTTTTATAAAAAATACTTTTCATACGAAACAGTTTTTTTCAAAAACCTGTCTTAGTAATTATTTCTTTCTCAGTAAATTTAATTGATATAAAATATTTACCATCATGATTGTTACTATGAATTCTTGCTGTTTATTTCAAGGTTAAAATTATTAGAACATATTATTGCATCTGGTAATATCGATACAAATTTTTTCATCCCTTCAGACAATTTTGCAATTATATATATTATAAGACATTTTCTGGAAAAAATGTCATGTCTTCATGTCTATCTACACATTAATTTATTTTATAATAATAGAGTACAACTTATTAGTGAATAATAATGATTAATCACTAAGCCTATAAAATTTTATAAAAAATTAAAATCAACATAATGTCAAATAAATGAGAAAAATGAAGATAGAGTTCTTTTATTGAAAGAAATAGAAATAAAGCTCAGTAGAAGAAGATAATATGGAGAACATTGGTATAATTTTTGAACTAATTCCTATGATTAAAGATGAAGAATGTGTTGATTGATAAAATTGCAGTGAGGGGGTACAGAAGAAAACATTGAAACATTTCGCAAAAACCTGTCGTTAATAACAGAGTAAACGATTGATTAATGAGATCTTGTGGTTTCGATGACTAATCAAGGTAAGGATTTACTTTTGTTATAGTTACATTAACACGTTATTAACTTTTTTTTTTTTACTTAATAAATAAAAATTCAATTGACAAGGTCTTAATTGGTTAGAACGATATAAATACACGATCGCTATGATATTTAGTAATAAGGAATAAAATAAAGGGTTAATATCAAATAATTGTCCAAAGGAACGATTTGACTCGATAGCACTTTCACTATTCGATCGTTTTATTGCATATAACGTATCCCTTCACCCTCAAGGTGACAATAAAATGGGTTACCACTGACGCAGTTTTGTATCTCTCTCTTTTTCTCAACTTTGCATAAGTCCAAAGAACTATGAATATGTTTGATTTCCATTTTGATCAATTAATAATTGCCATCCATAATATATTTGCTTAAAAAATATCCAATTCTACCACTCACGTTTAAGTTATCTCAATAATTAGTTAAAATTAACCCCAAGTTAGTGCCTAAAATAATTCATACTATCCAATGAAAATAAGCTATTTGCTTGGAAAAAATTATTTTGAAAGTAACTGATCTAAAACGCTGATAAAATCAATGTATTGAGGAAAAAGCTACTTGGAATTATTTTAATAATCAATTTTCCATTTAAACAGAAAAAATGTATTGATTAATTGATTAAATGACTTGAAATGTAATTTATCTACTAAGTAAAAGAATCTTGTTATTATAAAGCCAAGATTTTTATGATGATGCATTAAACACAAAATAAATGACAAATCAGAAGGAAGTCTTTGACAGAAGAAAATGGTTTTCTAGTGAAGTTATAAATTTTAATAAGAATGTAATTAAGACTTATCTAGGAATTTTTTATTTTTTATGCTCTCGAATAATTCATTAACATTATTGGGATTTACTTTTTCCTCTCCGAAGTCATTTAACGACTAACGATCTGATTCAATGGCTCTCTCATGACAAGAAAATGAGATTATGATGAAAGCAGAGTGTACTCATCACTCTTGGGATTTTCCAGTAATTTTTAGACAAGAAAAAGAAGGAAAAATATTCTTTCTCCTAATCTACTACTTATACATGACACTCCCTGTTGCTTTTTCTCATTTTTTTTAAGTATGTAATCGTCTAGAAACTACTTCCTATGATAAATATTCAAGTTTGGACCATTGCTCCAAGGATAAATATTTTGTCAAAAATTGAGTGAATTCTTGGCAATACTTTGAGCATCTATATATTGTTTACTGGATTATTTAAAATTCTATAAGTTCTTTTGGTGCCAATCTAAATTAATTGAAAGTTCTTGAAATAATGAATCAATTATGTTTATTAACTGTTGTAACTTCTGACCTCGAATAAGCAAAAATCTGCTTTCGTGAGTCTACAGAGACAGTATAAGTTTCGCTCTATCGATCATCTAGACCGATGTGAACTCACTTTTAAGGATAAATTTTACATGTATTGTTGAAAAACTGTTTTATAAAATTTCGTCATAAACCATTTTTTAAAAAAAAAATTATAAAATAAATCAGTAATATGAAAAATAATTTGTTTCTTTATTGTACATTCCAACAAGAAACTATTTCTTTTTTTAATGGTAATTTATAAGGTGCTGTACTGATAATAATTAATTGGTAGCAGCAATTAAATCATCAGAAAACAATTAATAAAGTAGCTGATCATTTTGCAGTTGATTAAATAAATGACATAGTTATCTGATCTTTGTTTAAGATATGATGCATCTAACATGATTTTAAATCATCACAATTGTTTTAATTAGTTAGAAAGAAAAAGAGAATTCTACTA